ATATGACAGAGCGCGGTTCAACGAAAAGTTCCTGGGCCCAGACGGACCAGAAGAGACCTTGCACGCGTTCTGGAGTGAGGTAGTTCGCCGACGGGACCCGCGGATACAGAATCACCCGATGTGCCTCAAGCCAGGTTGGACTAGAAGGTGCGTCCCGCTCGCCATTCACGGCGACGCCGTGCCAGTGGTTCGGGTGGGGAAGCCTGGGTCGGAGAGCTTGGAATGCATATCTATTCAACCTCTTCTAGCTAGGGGACCGACGTTGAAGGTCAAGCGTTTGTTGTGCTCGATGTTCGAGAACAACAAGGTTGCCAGCGTCCCAGGCGTCCAAGACACGACAGAGACAATGTGGAAACACATCTGCTGGTCTTTGAAGGCGTTGTATGATGGGCGGTTTCCTGCAACAGATTGGAAGGATGCCCCGTGGGACCCGCTCTCCAGCGAAGCAACCATTGCAGGGCAACGCTTGTGTTCTGAGGAGGAGGCGTTTTTCGGAGTGATCTGGTCCATAAAGGGAGACTTGGAATGGTACTTCAAGGGGTTAGGCCTCAAGAATTACAATCGGACTGACCCGTGTGAGTTCTGCCCGTGCGACAGAGCGCTGCCGAAAGCGATGTGGCCGACAAATTTCTCCCCCGCGGCAGCTTGGAAGGCGAGATTGCACACGGCGGCAGAATGGAGAGCTGGCAAGCCATCGCGTCACGCATTGTTCGCAGTGTTTCCATTTGTATCATTGAACAACTTAGAGTGCGACGAGTTACACATCCCGCACCTTGGAGTTTTACAGTATTATCTTGGCAGCATTCTGTGGTTGCTGACATATGATTGCCTCGGCGGAACACCGACCGAGAATTTCGAGCTGGCGTGGAAAATGATACTAGATGAGTACAGAGGTTCTCCGAGCGGCACAGAGTTCACAAAAATGAGAATAACATCTTTCATCGACCCTAGCAAATGGAACGAAGCCTACCCAAGGTTAAAAGGGAAGGGCTGTGAGGTGAAGTCTCTTATTGTGCCTCTCCATATCATTTGGGGAAAGCTGAAAAAGCAAGCCACTTTTACGATCAGGTTGCCAACTCGATCGATGCAATGACTAAAATACAGTTCATTATAGATGATTACAGCAATGACGCGTTCATTCCAGATAATGAAGCGGCCTCCTGCTTGTCTGAGACTGATAAGTTCTGTCGGGTGTATTGTTGGCTCACGAACGCGAGCAAGGCTCGCGACCAGATGTTGTTCACTCCAGCGCCAAAACTACATTGGATGTGGCACATGAGCTACAGAGCAAAGTATTTGAGCGTCCGCGGGGGCGCAACGTTCATTGATGAGGATTTCGTTAAGCACATGAAAAAATCGGTGGCAAATCAGTGGCAGGCACAACCATGCACATGGTACCGAATGTGGTTGTCGAGAAGTATCGGTGGGGCATCAGCCTCGAGTGATAGCGCGTGCCCAGCACTTGGTTGGGCACGAGAAAACAACAGACATCATCGTCACCATCATAATCATCGTCATCAGCATCATCATCATTATAACCATCATCATAGTAATAATAATCATCATCATCATCATCGTCACCACCATCATCATCGCCACCATCATGCCCCCCCCTCCGTGGCCCTGTCGATCGACGAGGGCGCCGCGGCAGGACAGCCGCCGCCCGCGCGACCCAGACGGGGCGGGGGGATGAGGAGGAGGTGGAAGAGGGGCAAGGGAGGCGGATAATACGAGCGCAAGGGGACGTGGGACGGGAGGGGGTGGATGCCACGGATGAGGAAGGGGGGCGGAGGAAGGACGACGGAGGAGGACCAGCGTGAGCGTTTTCGATCAAGACCCTGAACAGCTTGTTGTCGGCCGTGGTCCTGGGGCCGCCTGGGCCTTCGGGGGCCGAGCCTCCGTCCTGGCTGTGTTTGGGGTCTTCTGTTTGCTTTATGTTCAATGGTTTTAGGTTTTTTTTGTTGGACGCCCTCTGGGGGGCGTCCAGTGTGGAAAACACACACGACAATACATAATGATGTGATCAATTTTCTGTTGAACTGATTTTCCGATTCTGGTTTGCTGTCTCTTCGTCCTGAGTCCCCCCTCCTCTCACTATTCGCACGGTTCGCGCCGACTCCGCCAGCCGATGTCCCCGCGCGGTTCGCGTCCGCGGCACTGGGCGCTCATGGGGGCCCACATTGGGAGGGGGGGCCTTGAGGCCCAAAGACGACTCCACGCGGGCATCCAACATAAAAAAACGAGATGGCTTGTGGTATGCATTCGTGGGTTTTGGTTGGGTTCGGCTGGGGCAGTCCTGGGGCTTTCCTGAGCCGTCGCGTTCTTTCCTGAGGGCCTCTTGGGCCGTACCCTGCGGGCTCCTTGGTTGTTCCCCAGGGACATGCCCGAAATTTCCTGGTCTCGATTCAGGCGTCAGCGATGCCCGCCCTCTGCTAGGCGGCCAGAGACAGCTCATGGGGGGCTCCGCAATGCCCCAAGATTGCCCCGAGAAAGCAACGAG